TTTTTTTTTTTTTTTTGCAATACCAGACGCTCTCATTCAATATTTACATTTATTCGCACTAATCTTGCTTTTGTTATGTTCCTTTTTTTCTTTTCTTTTTCTTCTTTTCTCTACGCCCTTTGCATTTCTTCCTTTTTGCAAACATCACAAAGTGTCAGAGGCAAAGAATAGAAGCAAAAAAGAATGGGACACAACCACCCTTATGTTTATTATAGTAAAAATAATAATAAGTCGCAATAATAATAGTAATAATAAGAGTTTTTTTTTTTTTTTTTTTTTTTTTCAAGACCACGCCTTTTTTTTTTTTTTTTCTTTGTTGTTTTTTATTTTATTTTTCTTTTATCTTTCCAATTTTTTTTTCTTTTTGCTCTTCAAAGTGACAACATTCAAAAGATACACATTATCAGGTCCTCTCACCTTGTACAGAGCATCTAAGATAAAATATATTAAAATTCAAATTAATTAATCAATTTATTTATTTTTCTTTTAAGTGTTTATTTTGTACAGTAACGCAAACAAAGAAAAAAAAAAAAAAACGCAACCGAATCCATACAGTCCATATATATATATATAAACAGAAATCCATACATATTATAAGAGAAAATTCAATAGGGATACAAAACGCCTCAGATATATATATATATTAACGGGTCAGCTCTCTTCCTTCCTTCCTTCTTTTCTTCTTTATTTTTCCATTGTAGAGCACACTACCTCTACCTTCTCTGAAATGGTTTATTATTTTCCCTTTTTCTCCCCCTTCATTTCTTTTCTCTTTGTGATTTCCTTCTTGCTTTTATTATTCTTTTTCTTTTTGTTGCCTTCTTAGATCAAGTACCCTGCAAGTGAACTAAACCCACAAGCAGTGCCGTACCGAACATGAAAGCACGAATAATAATAATAATAATAATAATAATAATAATAATAATAATAAGTCAATAAATAAAACTCCTAAATGCTGTTCCCACCAGGAAAAAGGGAAAAGGAAAAAAAAAAAAAAAACAAGGAAAAGAAAACATCAGTTACTTCTCCGGTGCGAACAGCTCTTTAATTATGTCAGCGTAGTGTTTATCAATATTACTGCGGCGCAGTTTGGAGGTTGGAGTCACGAGACCATTCTCTGGTGTCCACGTATCTCCCAACACGCGCACATATCGCACTAACTCAAACGGTTTCCGCCCCGCCTTCTTCGCAATCGCCGCTAACGCCTCTGCCACTTTAGCGTGAAAAACTTCATTCTGCAAAAGTTCCTCATATGATCCTTTAATACCATTCGCCTCAGCGAACTTCAGAGCCCGCGGAGGTTCCGTTAACACAAGTGCTGTAATGTAGGCACGAGCAGGATCGACCAAAACACAAACACCGCCAGTAATACACACATCGTGTTGACTATAAATAGCCTCCAATGTCTCTAATGCAATGTACTCTCCCAACACATTCTTTGCCAATGCCTTTACACGGCCAATGAGACGAAGGGTTCCGTTCGACGACATACTACCAACATCTCCTGTGTGGAACCATCCATCCTCATCAATTGCCTCACGTGTGAGGGCCTCCTGCTTGTAGTATCCTTTAAACAGAAAAGGACCCCGCAGTAAAATCTCTCCACGGGGTTCTGGCTTATCTGTGTGTTTGTACTCCGCCGTGTCGAGTAGTTTCAACTCTGCCGTCACAACTGGCTGTCCAACATCATTTACCTCAATGTAATTTAATCGTTGTGTGGTGCCACAGCAAACAGTCTCGGTGAGACCCCAACCTTGAATCAACATGGGTCCTCCAAAGCAGACATCCATAAACGTTTGTGTTTCTGCGCTGAGTGGACCACCACCGGAGAGCATGGAATACGCTCTTCCACCAATGGCCTCAAAACACATTTTAAATACGGCTTTATTCCAGTAAGGAGTATCTTGATATTTCTGCAATGCACGTAGACGTGTGGCGTAGGCCTTATCAAATATCTTTCTCTTCAGTGTTCCCGGTTGGGGCAATTTAGCCGCAACACCCTTCTTAATTGTATCAAATACACGAGGGACTCCAATAACGATTCGTGGCCTAAACTCTTTAAAGTCTCCATGTGGAATAGCATACTCATCCGTAAGGGTACGAGGATTACAAAATCCTACAAGGCTACCACGTTTTAAAAAGATATTTACAATACCGAATTCAAGAATATGTGCTAGGGGTAAGTAAGCACAATAAACATCTTCCACACCATTACCTGTGTAGATGTCACTTAGTCGCTGATCCAGTGCCACAATACCAGAGGCAAGAGAACCATGCGTATGTACAACACCTTTTGGATTTCCTGTAGTTCCACTTGTATACATTACGAGAGCATCCGCATTATTATCTGTTGGAACAGTTGCTGTATAATTAGATTTTTCACCCCGTTCCAAAAGTTCATTCCATCCAATAACTTGAAATCCTTCTAGGTCTACATCATTAGGTAGATTATCCACATAGATAATAGTAGGACTTAAGTTTTGAGCACGGAGGAGTGGTAATAATGTATGCATGGTATTTGCACTGCAAAAGATAGCAGCAGAGCTTGTCTCACTGAGGGCGTAGGTAAGAGCATCTTCGCCGAGATTTACATACACCGTTGAGGCAATCATATTTTGTGTCCAAATACCATAAATACACACCAACCACTCCCATCGTGTCTCTTCATAAATAGTAATCATACTCTTCTCGGGTAAACCAATTTCCCGCAGTCCAGCACCAAATAAAGTAATTTGACGCCATAAATCACCATAGGTTAAGACCTTACGTTCACCATAGTGAAAATAATCAAACATGCGGTGTTTACCATCTGACGTATCCACTGGACGATGTTCCACTTTCTCAAGTGGACGGTAGGCAACAGCAGGGCGTGTGGTCAACTCTCTGTGTTGCTTTTCTAGAATTTGCACACAATTCATCCCAGAATGGTATTCTTTAACCAGTTTCTGGTAATCCTCCTCATGATATACCTTACTGTGACGATAAACTCCAGATGTTGTTTCTGTTTCTGTACCTGGCACAACCAGAGACTGTGGACTTCTATCACCGCTGATGAACGGATGGGGCACCATGGACATGGAGTTCCGGAGGTCCATTAACGTTGAAAGTGCTGAACCCATGGTTGAGGCTACAGGATGGAAATCAGAGGTTTATACTTCAAATACACAATTTGCCGCTATCTAATATGGTATGAATGAAATGAGGGGGTTTGGGGCGTGCGTATATATATATAAATATATAAATATATATATATTTCTTTTTCTTTCTCTCTCACCGTATGTGTGTTTACTTGTGTTTGAAGAAGAATATCTTTTTTTTTGTTATCGTTCTTTATTTACTTCTTTCCAGACAAAAAAAAGACTACCAAGATGAGATCCAATGAGTGTGTTCTAGTGCTTAAATGAATAAATAATACAATGAAGAGAAATAAAGAAAGAGTAAACTCAGAATAACATTATTTTCTTTTTTTTTTCTTTTTAATTTCCTTCCACGACTCTCATAATACTTAGAACACGCCAGTAAAAATAAAAATAAAAAAACAATAAACAATAAAAGAGAAGCAAGAACGTCCCAAAAAGAAATGCCAAAAAAAAAAAAAGGAGAATGACACAGTCATTATAAGTATTCGATTCAATTGTAGCCATACAGTATCACACCCAAGAGATGAAGCAAATCACATGTAGTGTGCCTCTCTCTCTTCTCTTCTCTTCTCTCCCGCCCTTCCCATCTTTTTTTTTTTTTCGCACGGGTATGTGTTATCTAATGAATCTTTTTTCTTTTTTTTCGCTCAGTGTGCAATTAACAGACGCAGCCATAATAGAAAAAAAAAAAAACTTCAAAACATATATATATATATATATGGAAAAGAGTGTGTAGTGAAACCACCTTCTATGTCATACATTGTTTCTTTTTTGTTCGTTCGTTTTCATTTAAAAGCTTAATTGGACTCGTTTTTTTTTTTTTTTTATGCCGCTGTTGTTATTGCCGTTCCACTTCTTCGCAAATAGAAGAGCTTGCATAGGGAAGATAAGCAGAAACCACCTTTTCCATCTATGTGACTTTAGAAGCTGCAAACCATTAAAAGAAAAAAAAAAAAAAACAGAAACAATAATAGCCTCGCTTATCTGCATTGATTAGTTAGTTTTCTTTTTGTGTGTGTGTGTGTGTGTGTGTGTGGATATATAGACAGATAGATAGATCTTCGTGTATGTTTCTGTATGTATACCTCACCTTTCCCCATATATTCTCACATACGCCTTTGTTGGAGATATTCCTCGATTCTTTCATTCTTCCACCTACTATTATTTAGTACCAGCACAAGGTCCAGAGAAGGAAGCTGAATGGAAAGAGTTGAATGGAATCCATACATCACGCTAGATATGCATTACAATAAACACATATATATATATATATATATATATATATATATATACATGCACGGAAAGAAGGAAAGAAAAATAGAGGGAGAAAAGCAGAGAAATAATAGAAAGAATTCAGTTAAAGGATGTCTCTCTCTATATATATATTACTCTGCCCCTAGAGGTGTTCTCTCCCTTTCCTTCTTCTCACTGCATATATTTGAGCACATGGTGTCATGATCATTCACCCAACCATCCCGCATATGTTCATATATAGAGAAAGAAAGAAAGAAAGAGAGAGAGATGAGCTACTTCTTTCTATCTTTCTCTCTCTCTCTCTCTATGTGTGTGTGTGTGTGATGTCTCCTGGACTATTCCTCTGCAAACAACTCTGCGATCACGTCTGCGTACTGTTCATCCACTGCCTTTCGCCGTATCTTCATGGAGGCGGTGAGCAGTCCATTCTCCGGCGTCCACTCGTCGGCCAACACCCGCACCCGCCGCGGGAGTTCAAACGGCCGCCGGCCCTCCGCCCGCCCCAACGCCGCCAGCCCGGCGACCGCCGCCTCCTGCAGCCGCGGCTCCCGCAGCACCGCCGGCCACGACGCCCCCGAAATCCCCGCGGAGGCCGCGAACGAAAGGGCCTTCGCCTCGTCTGTTAATATCAGCGCGCAGATGTACGCCCGCTGCGGGTGGACGAGCACGCAGACGCCGTTCGGGCAGGCGAGCGGGTGTTGGGCGTACAGGGCCTCCAGGAACTCCAGCGCAATGTACTCGCCCAGCAGATTCTTCGCCAGCGCCTTCACGCGGCCAATCAAACGTAAGCAGCCGGACTCGTCAATATCGGCCACATCCCCCGTGCGGAACCACCCACCAGGGAGAAAAGCCGCTTCTGTGGTCTTCTCCTGTTTCAGATAACCTTTAAACACCGCTGGTCCTCGCAGCAATAACTCACCGCGTGGATTCGGCTTATCGGTGTGTTTGTAGTCATCCGTGTCGAGTAGTTTCACCTCAATTCCCTTGAGGAGTTGACCCACCGCGGGGTATAGTTCCCCTGTTCGCTGCACAGTGCCATTACAGCAGGTCTCCGTCAAACCATATCCTTGAGCCATGGGAATACCAAACACAACATTCATAAACTCTTGTGTCTTATCACCAAGAGGAGCTCCTCCACAGACAATACCACGTGTTTTTCCACCAAACATATTACGTGGAACTTTAAATACTTTTTCATTTAGGAATGGTGTATCTTTTCCATCCTGTAATGCCTGTAAACGGGCAGCATAAGCAGCATCAAAAATCTTGCGCTTTACGCTTCCAGGTGGTGGGAGTTGACTTTCCACAGTTTTTTTAATAGTATCAAAAATACGGGGAACCCCAACGAATAACATTGGTTTAAACTCTGCTAAATCTCCACGTGGACGTGCAGTGACATCTGTAAGTGTACGAGGTGATCCATAACACAACATAGTTCCACGATTCAACATGATGATTTCACATATAAACTCAAGAATATGAGCAAGAGGTAAGTAAACAAGATATGTATCTCCCTCTTGTTTTGGACCTGACAATTCCGTTAAACGATCGTCAAGGGCTCTTGCACCCGCGTTAAGAGAACCAAAGGTGTGAATAACACCCTTCGGTTCAGCCACCGTACCACTAGTGTACATCACCAAAGATGTGCGATTGCAATCCTTCGGTATTGTGTACGTGCGGGAACTCTGTTGTCCCTTTTCCACCACACCATTCCATGGAACCACCACCATTTCTTCTACATCCAATCCAGCAGGAAGTGCATCAAAATAAATTAACTTTGTATGTTCCATATTAGCTTTTTTCAGCAATGGTAATAACGATTTCACAGATTGTCCACTACAAACAATCGCCGGACATTCTGCCTCCTTTAGTGCATACAAGAGGGCATTCTCACCAAGATTTGCATATACCGTCACTGGCACCATATCCTGTGACCAGATCCCAACAACAGAAGCAATCCACTCCCAACGAGAATCTGCGTACATCGCCACATCACTCCCATTTGTTAATCCCAATTCACAAAGACCTTTACCAAAAGCTATAGACTTCGCCCAGAAGTCCCCATACGTAATATACAAGGGATCATTCAGGTATGTTATCTGCCAATCCTTTACTCGCCCCTTAGAGTCTGTTCGTTTCTCTGTTTCCACCCTATTCACGGTGCGATAGGCAACGGCACGCTGATCTGCCCTTTCCTTGCAGTTGCGCTCCAGCAATTGCATGAAATTATCTCCCTCATACCACTCCTTACATCTCTCTTTATGTTCCTCATCCGACATATTCACCACGCGGTAAATTGGTGAAGAGACATCATCTTCAGATGGGGCACACACAACCGCAAGTGGACCGTAATTTTTACGATCTACCATGAAGTGATCCGGAACTTCACTCGCATGGCTCCTCTTCACCAAAAGTGAAGCCACACACCCTCCCATACGGCTTCCTCTATTTTTTGTTGTT